GGAATTCAAAATATTTTTGAAAATGTTGTCACACGGCATTTGGTGTCTTGTAACTTGATAAAAGAAGCTTCAGAAGGGGAAAAGAAAAGTACAAGACAGGCTTGGGAAAAGTTTTGAGAATGTCATGGAGAAATAAATGAGGAAATAAATAATGTAGTAAAATGTTCCAGTTGCAGATGATCCTAGTTTAACTTTCAACTTGTCACTTCCTTGGAAACTAAGTACTGCAGGAGAAAGAGAGGTGATTGCAAGCGATGATAGTAAGCTGCTGCTTGTTAGCTGAGTCACAATAATTGAACCTGTGTAGCCTGTTTCAGTTGCTAAGTAATGTGTGCTAGTGCTTACTTTTTGCCTGAAGACTGAAGACTTAAATGCCTCTGATATTGTTTTTAGTCAGCTTTACTTAGGTAGACTACATGTGTTATTTATTCATACAACTTTCTCAAACTTGACAGACCAAAACCTCAATGTCTCCTCATGGAAATGAATTCATAGATTACTTATGTGTAGTGTAAAGCAGTGCTTCTTTTTCTGTGTTGTAAATAGCTTGCTTTTTAATGTACACAAGCAATTCCATTGTAATCCTATTCCTCTTGTTTTTAAGAATAAATAGGTGTTTCTGATTTATGTTCTTTAAACTACCCTCAGTAGGGATTGTTCCTCTTTAAATTACACTGAGTAGTTAAAGCTTCAGTGTTTTCACTGTTTTCCAAGGTTTTGCTAATCTAAGCACCAGCATCTATGCCCACACCGAGAATTCTCCTAGAAATTGTAATGGCTTTCTAAAGCGGGCAGCTGTTCGTACTCCTGTTGTAGCCTGTGTCCTTTTTATCTCTGTTCATAAACAAGTTTTTCTTTGCCTTTAATAATTTTTACTGCCCATCTCCTAACCATTTCAATTTCCACACTAATCTCTTTGAGATTTTGTGATCAGAACTGAATGCCATGATCACAGTGAGGATGCGTCACTGTTCTACATAATAACATTATAATATTTTCAGCATTATTTTCTGTCTTTATCTCAATACAGCCTAACATCCTGCTTTCTTCTAACTATCTCTGCTCATTGAGAAGGTTTTTCAATAAGCAGAGGTATCCACCATGATACATCTTTGCTTCCCTGATTGTTACCATGTGAGTCACTAAAATGGTTCCCTTTAATGTGAATCATTTTGCACCTATCTACTCTGTATTTCGTCTTTCATAATGCTCCTCGGCATGTTGTAAACAGGATCCATAAGTTGTTTGTGGTATTCTGTAGTAACATAAGATTCACGTGTTCCTCCTGCTGATTCAACCATTGTTCACCATCTTTTCTTGCTGCTTGCTAAAACCATTCAAAAAATTTTGGTAGAAATCCTTTAATCTCTACTTGTAGTCTCCTTTCTTGAAAAAGGACAATTTATTCCCTAATTTTATGTTTCTTGCTTTTTTAAGCTGTTTATATCTCATAATAGAAGGGTATCTTGTAACCTTAACTTCTGCACTTCCTCCATGCCTCTCAGGAGGGATTTCGTCAAAATCCAGGTTGTATGTCTAAGTGCACATTTTTTTTCAAGAACAGATGAGCTTGTTTTAACAACTTGTTAGCATTGTCATTTGCTATTAGATTTGAAAATCTTGTTTTAAGGTGTTCTTTCATATCTTTAACAACACTTGTTAACACCAACGCAACTGACAGAAGAACTTGAACCATGAATTGGAGTCCTGTGAAATATAGGAAAGGATTCACCTTGCTTAACTTAGTCACAGAGCAGTTAGGTATCTGGTGGAAGCTAGTTAACTAGATTTCCTGTAGAGACAGAGAGACATCGACAAGGAGACATATGCATCTTCAAGGGGCAACTCAAGCTGTCAAAATAGAATAATTTTTAGATAGGTTGAATCTCTAATAGGTATCTTAAGGTATCTGTTGTCTCCACTGACATGAGAGGGAGTTAGGGTAGCTGTTTCAGGATAGACAATTAATTCTTAAAGGAGTGAAATTAGGTAAGAAGAATCCAGCTGCCAGTGATCACTGGGGTTCAAAACACAGTCTTGTTTATGAATTCCTTAACCAGCTTTCCTAGTAATTGGTGGTTTCATAACTATTTGCTTGCCCACAGCACACAGAAGCAACTTCTACACATTATATTGTTCTCCAGTGTAACTCATCATCAGGTTCCCTTCTTGCTGTTGTCTGGCTCTTTCCTTCTACATACTAGATTCATTAAATCAGGCCTGTACTCCCAGTTGTCTTCAGCCTTGTTTTGTCTACACTGCCTGCCAGAACTTTTCATATTTCATCGTGTCTTATAGCACTACCAGCTTTGGGCTTCTGCCAACTCTAACACAATAAAACGAGCTACTAGGTAGCATTTTCTTACATAGTCGGTTCCCCATCTTCATTGGCATTGGCTATCATGCTCCAGATAAACTGTCGAAAAGACATAGACAGCTCTCAGATGGGTATGTGGTCATTCTTGTACATCAGCTTTCCAAATTTCATGCCCGGTGTTTTCTTTCTGCGGTCTCAACCTACCACATACACCCTACCATCTCATTGTCACAGCTCCATGCAATCCCCTGTTTTCCTCTCCCATTAAAATCTAACCAGCTCTCAATCATTTTCTCCCTGCGATGCTCTTATTGCTTTGATGACGTCTTGCTTTATGAGAAATGCACTCTTCTTTTTCTGTGTTTGAATATAGCCACTAAACCGTGTTGTCTCAATCCAACTTTGTTTCTCTTTTGCTTTTCGTATGACTTTCAGTGATGAAGGTGACAATTTTTCTCTCTTCTTTCTCTTTTCCTTTACCATCAGCATTGCATAATTCCATTTCATCCATGGATAAAACTACTAGATTTTTGAAAGATTACCAGACTATTTACTAGTACAAGTGACTACATCAGATTTTCCTTTCCACAGCATGAACACTTGACTTGTAACTTACGTCTCCTCCTGACCAGTTTTGTTTGTGGCATCTGCACTTGTAGGAATAGGATATCTCAAAAAAGTCAATATAACTGCACCACACCATTGGGAATAGGAAGATATCACTACGCTACCTGTGTCATTCTAAGGAACTGAGGCATAG